ACTATAAATTATTCATTTATTAAACTTGAGTGCATTTGAAATATTTAATAGATAATTTTTCTTTTGATGTAAAATGCACATTTGGGTCTCACTGAGTTACTTTTTAGTACTTATATAAAATTGCATTTCAAAACTAGTTTTCATTCTGCCCTCATAGATTTTATCATATAGATAAAAATCAGAATTTGGCCAAATTACTCCCCTGGCATAAGAGAAGTCTATTTAGAATTTCTAAGTAGCCCTTTTCTTAACTGGAGAATATACATAATTCCAGTTATTAGAACTCTGTTGCTAGGATGAATTTTTTTCAAACTGGTATTTATTATAAAAAATGATTTATGATATGTGCTCAGTTCACATGAATGTAGGGAGAACTACAGGAGGTACTGCATTGTGAAGCTCTACAAAGAGCCTTCTTTCTCTCATTGACTTCCACTGCTGGTTGCTATGGCATCTAGTGATGGCCATAAATTTTGGAAATTATCACCAACTGCCCACACCCCCTTCTAAAGTTACACACAAGTCTACTTAAGAAACCAAAATAACAAACAAATAACTCCATAAGCAATCTCAAAGGTGTGGGTTTAAAAAAAAACAACTAAAAAAATACTTATATATTCCTACTGAAACTAATGCTCAAAATGGGAACATGTCTCAAATAACTTAGAAGGAGATGAAGGTAACATGATCTGGAACACTGTGCTTGATGACTCAAAAAGTGATTCAAATATGTTAAAGAAGCATATTGAAATTTTAAACAAAAATCAATGGATTTTATGAAGTGTAAGAGGGAAAAGTGAATAAACAAGTGAATAACTGAATAAAATATACCAAAATACGTAATGTTAGAGCTGAGAAGACTTTTAAAAATATAAAAATAGCCATATTTTTTTCTGAAATAAATAGAAGCTTTCAGGAAAATATATTATTTAAGTCCAATGTTTAACTGTTGAAAAGAAAAAACGAGGCAATTACTAGTTGATAGGTTTTTATCAGTTTGTAAAGATTAATGAATTTTCTTTTTTATATATTTTTTTTGATTTTAGAGAAAAACAGAGAGTGAGAGAGATAGAAATATCAATGATGAGAGAGAATCATCAATTGGCTGCCTCTTGCACTCCCCAACAAGGGATCAAGCCCACAACCTGGGCATGTGCCCTTAACCGGAATCAAACCCAAGACCCTTAGTAAGTCCACAGGCCAAAACTCTATCCACTGAGAAAAAACAGCTAGGACAATATTAATGAATTTTCTATGTCACAGGACCAATTCTGGAAAATCTGAAAGCAAATTTACATCAGTAATGCTTTTCAAATATTAATACTAGAAATATAAAAGTACAAGTCAATGTTCATAGGTAGACTACAATTTAAATCTTAGCATTTGAAATGGGGGGGGGGGGGTATTTTCCTCTTTGTGTGTGTGTGTGTGTGTGTGTGTGTGTGTTTTTAGGCTTACATTTTTATTTGTCTTACCAGTATTAGAAACATGATTTCCAAGTCTTTCAAAGATATTGATACAATAAATAAACTATTGGAAACAAGTTTTTAAAATTATAAACTCAAAAGTCAAAGACATAGCCGAAACCGGCTATGTGGTAGAGCATTGGCCTGCGGACTGAAAGGTCTCAGGTTTGATTCCGGTCAAGGGCATGTACCTTGGTTGTGGGCGCATCCCCAGTAGGGGGTGTGCAAGAGGCAGCTGGTCGATGTTTCTCTCTCATTATGTTTCTAGCTCTCTATCTCTTTCCCTTTCTCTCTGTAAAAAAAAAAAAAAAAAAAAAAAAAAAAAAAAAAATCAATAAAATATATTAAAAAAAAAAAAAAAAGTCAAAGACGTAGAAGAAATATCACCAAACTAGTTTGGCCTGGCGGGCATGGCTCAGTGTTTGAGCACTGACCTATGAACAGGAAGTTGCAGTTTGATTCCCAGTCAGGGCACATGCCAGGGTTGTGGGCTGGTTCTTCAGTTTGGGGCATACAGGAGGCAGCCAATCAATGATTCTTTCTACCTCTCCCTTCCTCTCTAAAATCAATAAAAGTACATATATTTTAAAAAACTAGTTTGGTTAATGTCAACAATCTTGATATATAACTTTTCTTTGAGTTTAACAAAAATAAATAAAACATTTCACCCAACTTCAAAAGAAAAAAAAAATGACATTTTTTTTTTCTAAGAAAGTAACAAATACAGGAAAAGAATATAATAAATATATAAATAAAGTCCTGGCACATAAAAGTCTCTATATTTATGTTGAATCATATTGAACCAATATGCTGGAAGAAACATTATACTCTTTTGAGAATTATAAGATTTCTTTAACACCATTAGATTTCATGTCAATATTTTGAGATAGCAAATAACTCAAGGATGAAGCTATTCTATATTCCCTAAAATCCAAACTTATCCAGCTACAAAAATGATATGTAAAAAGAACAATCATATTAAATATATTAGGATAACATCATTTATGTGCAAGAGGCAAATTTTTGGCCATTTTAAATCTTTGGACCAATCTCTAAAAGTTGGAAGTGAGTGAAGGAGGCAATAATGAAATCACACACCCTCTCTTAAAGCCACTCACTTAGCTCTACAGAGCGCTGCACTGACAAGACCCACTTTCAATCCAGTTTATTCTCCTGATGAGCCTGTATTTTCTCCTTCTTCTATTGAACATGACTGTATGAGGTCTTTTTCAATATAATGCTTAATAAGCTTAAAAGAATTTCTGGTTTCTGGGTTCACAAGATATACATAGAACAAAAGTTAAAAAGTAAATGGAAAAAAAAACATGTCTGATAACAGCGCTCTGAAATAAATGAAGCGATCCTAATTAAAAAATAAGTGCCCATAAATATTAGATGTGTTTAATTATCTTCAGTGTCCGCAAAGCCAGAAAGAGGCCTATCAAAAATAACTTAATATTTTGATTTTGAGTTTTGGCATATGATCACCAGTTATTCACAAACACCACATACTGCAAAGTCACTTGATGGTGTTAAATAGGTGAGGTGTTGCTATCCATGTAATATGATGACATCACCTTATTTCATCATCTTTTTTGGTAATAAACTATTGACTGTCTTCACCTTCAAAGTTTAAATGTTCACTGGCAATTTTGAGCCAGATCTTTCCTCTTAATATGAAAATAATCTAGAATACTTTTCACTCATCAGGTAACTGCATTTATTAATATGTGATAATCAACACAAACTTATCAAATATTAAATAATGATTATTAAAAGTGATTACTTTTTAAAATCTCCAAAGCATAATTTATTATGAAATTTATTTCCAAAGATTCTTAGATCTTTCTTCTAGTACACCTGAGTCTTACAAATATTAAATATGAAAGTTAAGATTTTAGTTCCATCTGGCTTCTGCACTACATAAAAACAACAACAACAAATATTTGAATCAGAAAATCTTATCTAGTTAACTAAAAACCATTAAAACTTAAAAAAACTACTTATTTCATTTCTATATCTCAAATCTATATTTTTATTGTTTTTAATTTTTATTTATGACAGTATTATAGATGTCCCTCCCCCCGCTCCATTGACCTCTCCTCGCCCTCCTCCACTCCCCACCCCAGGCCTTCATCACCCTATTTTCTGTGTAATCAGAATTTCAGGCAGTAGGATTCTGTTTGAAAAATATGACTAACTATAAACAAATAGAAATAATGACACCTGCTTCGCAATTGGGTCATTTTCAGCTATTAATTTCATTTTCTCTGTCTTGATTTTTCATCAGCAAATTAGCATAAAAATTCAATTCTCTATGGGGCTTTAAAGAATTTACTGTTTAGTTTATAATGTGGTACCTTACTGCAAAAAATCAGACATATAAAATGAATAAATAGCTTCAAACTCAGCTCAACAAATGTTTGATAAAAGTCCACAAAGGTGAATAAACTGTTCACATGCTGCCACAAAAATAAATATGAATTACAATGTTCATTGTTTTTAAGGAGCATTTCCAAATATGGAATGTGAAAAAAATATATATCCCATGAAATTATTACAGAACAGAGAAAGACAAATGTTATAAAAGAATACACACACACACATACAAACACGCACACACACCATGTAGATATGGGAATTCAGAGGGGAAAAAAATCCTAGTCCTTTTCTATGGCAATTATATATATATATATATATTAAATAAGATAATATATATATATATATTAAATAAGTTTATATGATGGTGATAATGATTGCAAATATGATATATTATATAGTAATATCATAATTGCTATTATTTTAATTTGTTCAGGATCTGGATGAAACATGTAAAGTGAAAAATGTGTGAAAGTGAATAAAAGAGTTGATTAACACAAATAGTTATTTTTGGTGGAAATTAAATAGTTATTTTGCATGCAGCATAACAGTTAAGTTGTTTATGGTATGAAGTTTATATGGTCAAGGCTAGTCTCTTGTACATCATCAAATTTTAATAATAAACACCTTTCAAATGTCTCTAATGGAAATGAATTCACATTATAGATTGAGGGAAAGTAGGAGATGTTTCTATTTGACATTGTTACGGTCTTTTGTCTGAATGCATTTCAATCTATTTTGGAACACTAATGGAATGAGGAGTAAGCTTAGAACCAGGAGATAAGGGTTTGCATAACCACTGACACCTACCAGCTGCCTGACCTTGGGAAAGTCACTCTCTCTGAGCTTCAGTCCCTCAGTAGGAAAACAGGGATGATACGTGGTTGTTTGATATTAGTGGAGGATTAATGAGAATAACTTCTTGCAGTGGGCTCCAATAAGCCTCTTTCATTTTTTTATAAATAAAGAAATGATAACTATAAAGCAATTTGGAAATAAATTTGCCTCAGTATCATCTTAGTGTGAGCAAACATAATCAAATGGGTGAAAATGTCTACATAAATATAATATATATATATATATATATATTATTTATATATGCTATGGCGTTTGATGGTTTTCACTATTTTTTAGTGTAAATAAGCACACTCTTACCTGTTGGTGGAATTATCCCAGGAGATATGAGGCCGGGGACAGAATGTGGCATGATATGCGAATTCTCTGGGGAAGTGACACTCTGAGTCCTCTTAGGAGGCCTTCCAGGTCTAGAACTGAAACAAACAAACAAAAAATTTTTACAATTAAGCTGTTGTCTTACACATCATTTCAAAGTTGTTTCAAGTGGTAACATGGACTGTAAATAAATTTGTTTCAAGGACGGTTGCTTTTGCAGTTAGATGTAATAGACTTCCATCACTAATTAGATTACATGCTGAATTCATTTTCCTCATTGAAGATCAGCCACTCTTGATGCATAATTCATAGCCTGCACCTCGTTACCTGCTTCTTCATATTAATATCTATACACAGTTTGAATTGCCTCGTTTGCATATGCTAAAGTTCTGCATGCAGCCTTCAGCACGAAAATTATGCACTAACTTGTAATAATTATTACAGTCAGCCTGCTATTGATTTATGAGACTTTTAAAAACCAAATATGTGTAGTACTTGTAATGAATGATATTTTAAGGTTCTTCAGGAAATTAAAAGGCAATGGCTGCCTAAGGAAATGTTCTGCTTGTTTGATTTAATACTACAGTTAGCTGGGAGGTGGAATGAAAGAGTGATTCAGACCTATAGCACATTTTTCGATGATATGTTTTATTACTTTGCACTGCTAGCCTGATATCTAGATGATAAATGACAATACATATCTAATGTGTGAAAAGGTCTTGCAATTTCTTTATTTTTTGTCATAAAAAAGATAAGTCAAGTTATCATTTAACCCTTATTCTATTTAAATGAACAGCCCCACTGGGTTGCCTTACTTTTAATATACTAAAATACATTGGAAAGGCTTAGGATTATTTGTAGGACATCATTGAGAAACTGCCAGTATAGCATCTTATATCTGCCTTGAGGATAAATAAAAATACTTTGTGTTTGTGGTTTAGTAGTGCTTGTTTTTACATTATTATTGTACAAGATTAATTTCTAAAATTATAAATGCCAATTGTACAATATTAACTTAATAAAATAAAAGGAGTAGGCGAGGAGGACACAATTATTCACTATCCTTGTTTGAGAATAACATGAATGTATGTTAGCAATTTTTGAAACAAACATACTTAATCATTATGTTTCCACTTTCACCCTCTGTATCTTGAAGGTGTTTTCATGAAATGCTTTTCTGTCATTTATCTGGTCAATATCTGCTTAGACATAGTAAAACTTCCAGATACAAACTTCATACATTAGCATTTCCACATTAGCCTCAGCTGAGGTTCTTTCCCTCATCAGAAGACTGGAAGACCCTGCCTCTGTTATTTAATATAAGTACCATGTGTGGTGATTCAATGAATAATTAGTAAGCACTTGTTTTCAAAGTAGTACATTGTGGAGGCTGATTTGGAAGAATGGGTTCTTTAGGAGCTTATTCCTTGGGGGAGGGAGAAGAGGGGGAACAGCCTGGGCACACTAAATGTGTTGCAAGCTGGAATGTGCTACTTGTCGTAAGAAAGTTGCAATCTGATTACTAATTGAAAGTTAGGCTGGGTGATAAGACTTCCATGTTGAGGGAAGAGAGAAAAGGTTTCATAGCAGTGGGAACTTCAGGAGAGAATTCTGAAGGATGAGTTAGGGAGAGAAAGAATGGAAGAAAAGATTGAGAGTGAGATGGAAGCATGGAATGTACAGATAAACAGGATTGTTACCACTGGGCTGAAGCAGGTCAAATAAGGTGAGGAACAGAGATTGATGTGACAGCAGTTACTGCCTGAGGCCAGACCCTGGGGAGTGAAGAGATCATGTGCTTGTTTTGCTAATCTATAAGGGCACTCTCCAGTTTATTGTTCTGAAGTCTCTCTTTGGCTGCTTATTTTTATTATTCATTATTACTTTTTATCCTCAGCTGGTCCTTTAACTCTGGTTACTTGCCTCAGGCCAATCAACAACCTTCTAATGGTCTCCATTCAACCTGACTGATCTTGCTACCAGCAGCAGTGAGATACTAAGGAATTATGGCTAAATATATTCCTGGAGCCTAGATCTTGCTCTTGGGATTCAGACAGGTTAATGCCTGTCATCTCTGTTTGGGTGTTTTAGAATAATGTAAGACTCCACTTGTCCAAATCTAAACTCAGCATCTTCCCCATTAAAACCTAATCCTCTTTCCCTGATTCAGGAAAATGGCACCTACTTGATTATGTCAAAAATCCAGGACTCAGCTGTCCTTTCTTTCCTTTGTACACTCAAAAACATCCCATTGAAGACACCTCTGTAATCCATTCTTTGTTCTCTATTCCCATCCCATCTTCCAGGTCAATTGTTTATTTCTTATTTGAGCTATGACTATAGCCTTCTGAACTTTTCTAAGATCTACTCCAAACTTGAAGCCTAGAGTCCAGAGTCAAGACAACTCTCTATATTACTCTTTTTTGAAGCCTAGAATCCAGAGTCAAGACAACTCTCTATATTACTCTCAGAAGGATTTTTCTAAAATTCAATCATATTTTCCGTTTGCTTAAAAATATCAATAGTTTCCCTATACAATTCACATTCCTTATCATGGCACCAAGATCTTCCAAAACTTGACCCTTGCCTACCTTTTTCATCTCACCCTTTTATTTGACCTTATTGAATTTCTAGCAATGTCATAAGTTGCTTTGTCTCCTATGACACTACCTTTATGGATGCTACCATCTTTATCAGGAAAACCCTTTTCTGAACCAATCCACTCCCATCCCCTTAATGATTCTTCTTACTAACCATGTCTAGTTAGTATCCTTTCTATGCACTATAGCCCATGGGATCTGCTTATTTGCTTCACTGCCAAGACTGTGGAACATGGAGTATATTAAATATATCTTTGGATCCTTAAAATTTAGCTCAGGGCTAAATTTTCTTTTTTATTTTTAAATTTCAATTTTTTATTTCATTTTTTCATTTCACTGTATCTATTTAAATAAACTTTAACACACAAGTTATGAGGGCTTTTTTCCCAATTCCTGAAGTATCCTACTTCATCCATTCCAGTGGTCTCAAAGTTTCCAGGAAATGAAGACTAAGATACCACAGTAAACTTTGAAATTCTGTGTCTAAGGATAATATACACCAGAAGGTCAGGAAAAGAGAATAGATGCATTGGGAGATCTCAAGTAAATGCCATGGGGAAAGTGGGAAAGGAAAGGAAATGGAAGTTAAGATTTAAACATTTCAGCCCTTTAATTTGCTTTTGCCTTTTAAAAAAATGAAATGGTTTGGAAGCACTTTATCATTCAGGCTACAGGAGCTGTCCTCAGGGCCCTTGCTCTGCAAGTAGAAGTCAGGCTGCTAAGTAGGAACACTTCATTTCAAGTAGTGGTTAGAACAGACCAGTGGGCTTTTCCACCCCAGATATCTCCAGCCCAACCTATGACATTGCCCTAATTCACCAATAGAGATTTACTGTTTTCAGGGTTATGTTGTATATGTGTTTTAAGTTTTTATTACTTTACTAGAGGCCCAGTGCTTAAAATTCATGCACCAGGGTAGGAGTCCCCTGAGCTAGCCCTGCACTTTTTCCAATCTGGGACCCCTCGGGGGATGTCCAACTGCCAGTTTAGGCCCAATCCTGGATCAGGCCTAAACTGGCAGTTGGATATCCCTCTCACAATCTGTAACTGCTGGCCCCTAATTGCTCACCTGTCTGCCTGCCTGATCACCCCTAACAGCCTCTGTGGTTTTGTTCAGAAGAGGTCAGGTCTATCTGGCCTAATTAGCATATTATCCTTTTATTAGTATAAATGTTTTAAAGCTTTAGGATCTTTCAAAGCCTCCCTTTAAAATGCAAAAACCTTTGATGGGGTGACACCCAAAAGCCACCAGCTAACACCCAAATGAGGATTAGTTTAAAATTAAGAGAAAGCAAGGTTTTGGGATATATATGCAAACAATGGCCAGGAATGGTGGGAAAAATTTGTAGGAAGTCAAATCCCTTACCCTTTTGCCTAAGAATAGGACTATTTGGAACCTTTCCTGGAAGTTATATCCAACTTCTTGATTGATGGGAAGTTGGATTTCTTTTTTCTTTTTTCTTTCTTTTCTTTCCCCTATTAACAAGACTTCCCTCTATCTCTTCCTGACCTATATAGTTTAGGTCTCCTTGGTATTTTATCCTTACCACTGTCTTCTTCACTAACTGCTAGAGAGTTTGATTTCAAGGGAGATGCCCTAATTGTTAAATATTTACAAAAATATTTAAATTACTTTCAACAGAGCTTTAGGGGACTTCCAAGAGAACACATGCAGTGCTATAGCCAAAAACACAGGTTGCATTGTCTTGACACATCAGGCTTTAAATACTGGCTCTACCAATTTACTACAAGGTGTGGCCTAAATCAAGCAACCTGACTTCTCAGAACATCTGATAAAATCAAAGTATTTTTATAAGATGTGGGCCTGTTTGCTTTGTTAGAAATAAGTTATTCTTGGGCAGAAAAAAACAAACAAAAACACAACAACTGAAAAGTGGAATTGAAACAGCAAAAACATTTTCTTGTGAAATGATCAATTGTTCCAATAGTATCTACCTTCAAACCTCCTTTAACAACAGCAAGGAGCTCTGCTCTAAAGAGTCAGAACAGCTGAACTCTCCTACTTCTAATCAAAGCAGAAGACCCCACTTAAATCAATTATTACCCTTAACAGCTTGAATGAAATCAAATTTATGACTTTGGTAATTGTTTTTGCCAGCTTCACACATGAGCCATACTGCAGCCCTCAAGTATGATCAACCATCTGCATTGAAAAAGAAGAACAATGGCTTAGAGATGTCCAAATCTGCACATAATATCTCATTTACTTAGGAATCCACCCAGGTACCCCCTTCCTTGCACTTTTGAATATAAAGGTTTCTTTTCAAGATAGATCACTGGGTAGACTTCTGTCCTTACTTTGCATTATTAAATATGTCTCATGTTAATTTCTGTCTCTCTTCCACAATTATATAATGTTTTCCAACTCTTCCTGGACCATTTACTGTGCTTATTGAGGGTGAGGTCAAAACAAGCTTAGCAAAAGGAAACAGGAGTGATATGCATTAATCAGAAGCTAAGTGCATCAAAGAGTTGGA